ACCTCCAAAACCCCTTTGTGGCACTAAAATGAGCTGCATTCTGGACATCCAAACAGCATCAAACTGCATTTGGTAGCAAAATTGCATTTTACTTTGTGAAACAGCATGTACATACACAATACTGCACATTTGTATGCAAAACTTTCTCTGTGTATGCAAATATGTGTTGTTGTTTGTGATACTGCATGTTTGCACGTGGTGGACCAGATTGGCATTTGATTAAAATTTCACTATTTTTCTAGTAACTTTCCAACAACGATCATTTTCACCTGTTTCTTGGGGCATTCAAAAGCTTAGTGTGTCCTTTATCTGAAACAAGTCTCACATATCTGAAAGGACCTTAAAATTTTGATGCAAAGAAATTGGCATGTGTGAGAGATTAGATTATCTTTGTGGTGTCTGCTCCACAAGTTTAATGATCTTCTGTTTCCCCCAAGGTTCTGAATGAGGTAAATACGTGGCTTGAGTTCATGTTGTAAGTTCCAAGCTTAACACTCTGTTTCTAATCCTTGACTTAAGATAAGTCTTGAATTTGGAGCATGTAAGTCTGATTTCCCCAGGGTACCAAGTTTAAGGCAATCCCTTGGCTTTGTTTTCTGAGTCTTTTGCTCAGCTTCCTTCACCTCGATTGAAAGATCCTTTGGGCTTTGTTGCCTACTTGAGCTTTGTCTCACCTGTTTGGGTTTTCTCCCATCTCTTTAGGCTCTATCCCGTTGCTTTGACTCCTTCTCTCGTCTCTAGCAACTCTGGTTTACGTGGGACTTTATGCCTAGCCTCTATTATCCATCAATTGTTGACTTCTACTTCACTGCTTCTGGCAGAATCTTCTCGAGTGTGGAATCAAGGATTTCTCTCACACAGTGCAATTCGTGACCGCAAACTAGCGATAGGTTGGATGCAGTGAACATGCACCACTAATATTACCTTCTGATACAGATCACTCTTTTTGTGCTTTGCGGAGAGTGCAATTAATGGCTTCGTCCTAGCGATGGGCTAGAAATAATGAACGTACATTGCTAATATTACTTTCTGATAGGGATTGCCTATATAATGCTTTATATCTGCTTAGCAATGCAGTGAACCCATCCAACCTGTCAGAAATCGGGTTGAACAATGACATACATGCAATAGTAATATTAGCTTCTGACACAGATTGCCTCCTTTCATGCTTTATATTTCTCCTGCTTAGCAGTGCTGTTAACCCCAATCCAACCCGCAAAGAATTGGGTCGAATAGTGACATATTCAGCATTCAACTCAATTAGTTTTGCCATTGTTCTGTTGTCCATGGGAAGCAATGTTTTCTTCCTTTTTTGATTGGTAACAGTTTTAAGTGTATATAAGTAACTTGCATCCACAATGTAACAAGTGGAATGTACTCAAGTCAGATCTTGTTGGAGCAAAAGATTGTCCCCAATGGGTACGACTCTCTCGCTCCTGATCATTGCTCATGCTTTGGAAACAGTCTCCATGTTTGCGTCCTTGATCTGTGGTATAATGTGACAGAATATAAAGCTAGCTTTTCTCCAGTTTGAGGACTTCTCTTTATCAGTTGGATGGTCTACTTCGTTATAAGCAAGTCAATTTATTTGCCTCACTTAAAATTCTTTTAGGACAGTTTTGTTTGCTCCCCCTAGTCATGGGTGAGCCCTGTCTGCTCCGTTTACTTAAAAACAGTGTTTTATCTACTGCACATACTTGAAAAAGATATACTATTTTTCCCTCACTCATGAATGACCCATCAATTAATACAGTATGGGAGTGTCCACACTGGTCACTGATCTCTTTCCTGACCGCTGACACCCAACTTTAGTTGCCAGCTCCAGAGCAACCTACCCATTCTTAGACTCCTGAGCTTTACCACTTTTACTCTAGACCATAGAGCCACTCACTCTTTTGTGAACTGGTATGGTTGGATTGCACTTAGATGGTCTCGTTAAGTCCATAATTCTGAGTAGTCATAACTCCCCCTGAACTGGTTGGTTGAGCTATCCAACCAGCCGGTTACCAGATCACCCAAAACCAGCTGCTAATTTGGAGCTGGTTTTCTCAATATCTAGGGATGCTTATATTTAAATTTTCAAATCAGTTTAGTGAAAGGGCGTGCAGTGGAACCCTACATTAATCCATATAACCTGACGTTAGTTGGCTTAGTGATGCAAAGTTGCGGTCTGACAATGCCATCCCCGGACCACATCTTTACGTTTTGAAAAAAAAAAAAAGCGGTCCGCGGATGCCATCCCCAGACCACTTGTTTATTCCAAAACTTAAAAGCGCTTTTTATTTTTTTCCAACACTTAAAGTTGCGGTCTGAGGATGGCATTCTTGGACCGAAACTTAAGTTTTGAAAAAGAAAAGCAGTCCGAGAATGCCATCCTTAGACCGCAACTTAAGTTAAACCCAAAAAAAAAAACGGTCCGAGGATGGCATCCTCGGCCCACGGGGTAATTCTATCAAAAAAAAAAAAAATCGTGTTGACCGACCTTGATTGTAATTTTCAAGTATAAAGGAAGCAAGTCGTATTTTTATAACTTATTTAAGGTCCGTACATAATTACTCTTTTAATTATGTACGTAATTAAAATAATTTAAGGTTCGTACGTAATGTAACTCTTTTAATTAACTTATTTAAGGTCCGTACATAATTAAATTCTATCCCTTCTTGTCGTGCCGCTCATCCATCTCAACGTCCTTATCCTAACTACACTCATCCTATGGGCATGTTGTTTCTTACTGGCCAATATTCTATCCCATAAAGCAAAGCTAGTCTCATGGTCGTCCTATAGACTTCCCCTTCAACTTCATTAGTATGCAATGAACTCCTCTGAGTCAGTTCTCTAAATTCCTCTACTAAGTATAGGTCCCTAATCGTTGTTAAGAGGGCCTCCATTCTTCCCTAGAAACTACTGTGGTTCCAGTGGTTCCACTATTTAGGCAGCCATGGAGATGCAGTTTATTTCAAAGGCTAAATCTTTCCCAACCTTGAATGACCCCCATTAAGGAATCAAGGGATGCCGGTTGGGTTCCTCTAGCCATATTTTCTTAAACGACAAGGTTTCAAACCGCTAGAGATAATGTCAGTTGTCTAATAGAAAAGGGTGTGGTCTGAAATAAATTTAGGGCGAGATCTAAAGTGAGTTCCAAAAAATTCCACTTCCTGTATGGGGGAGATTAAAAACCTATCGATCCTACTCATGCTTGGACTGGCGGTGTGGTTTGAACAAGTAAAGAGACACCTGTGAGAATGCGGTGAGGGTCAAGACGACAACTCGGTTGAGTTCCGTCAATAATTCTTCCCAGGTTTGGTGACCCTAGTCTATTTGGGCCATGGAAGAAAACTTCTAACTACTGTTTTCGCTTTTTTTTTTTTAAGAGAATAATTTCCAAATCAAATTGTATGACATTCTAGTGAAAGAGACAAAGATTGAGTACATGCCTATTGTAGCTGACTCCAAAGCTAAAATTGTTTGGTCCCAAATGACCTAAATCCCACTGGAGGCCCCTTGGGCAGGTAATGCCTCCCATTGACAGAGTCATCTACCCATTAGAAGAGATTTCAGTAGGCCCCTAGAAGACCCTGAACCCCACCATCTTGATGGCCTAGAATTCTTGCAAGAGTTTCCATCATAGTTGAGCTATTCACTTCTTTTTTTTAATAGTTCAATGCATAACAGCTGCACATAGTGAAAAAAGAGCTATGCATACATGGAAACAAAAGAATAATTGGATAAGACTAAGGAGGAGGGGGAAGAACTAAATGTGAAGACAGAAGAGGGAGAGGTGAGAAGTATGTGAGGGTTTAAAAACATGCTATGCAACCCTAATCACACAACACGAACATATAATAAAGGCATAGGCACATGAGGTTAGCCCACTAGATATGCCAGACATAGAATGCATATGAATTTAATGCATATGCGGTACTATGGTAGCAACAGTCTAGTCAGCAAGAAAGTCCATTCCAAATTCATGGTAAGAATCTAATAATCATATATTAGCATATAATGTAGTTGAAACAAACTTCTAAAGTCCCATAGCACAATATGTTTACCGACCCACCCATATATACCCTACTAGAAGATTCCAGACCACATTAAAACCCATACGCATGTCATAACCGACCCAACAACGAGCTTACCTCTACAAACTATAACTACAATAGCAAGGCTCATGAAAATACCATAAGCCCAACAAAAGAAACAAACCATCAGCCTTGTCAAAAAAGAAACAAACCATCATAGCAAGATGACAAAACTCAAACAATGATGGAGTAGTCTCAAAAGTAGTGACTATCCTTGACACAATTGACACTGCAATGAACAAGAAAATGATGGGAATCTTTGCGTGTAAAAGATGTTTATAAACACATTAATTTTTGTGTATTACAATGAAATGAGGGTATGCTAGTAATAGTCTGTTAAAAGGGATATTCACTTTCAACCTGACAGTATTTTCAATCAATCAAACCTTGTAATATATGCATAGCAAATGTATTGACCTAATACAAGTTAAATCACAAGTTTATCATGATATAATCAAGTTCAACATGGCACAAGAGCTTAAAAGGTTAAGGGAAATAGGAATTGACCTATTTCCACATAAAACACTGGAATTTCAACAAAAAATTAGCAACTTGTCACCAAAAAAATAGGCTTCAACACCACCCTTATATCTCACTAGCTCATGGAAATTTTGTCCAAAACAATGAAGCAAATATAAGAATCTCTAGTTGGAAGTAGGAAAATGGAAAAGAAATACAACAAGGAAAGGATAAATGGTTATTGAGTTCTAATCTCATGAAGCAATCCATTCCGATTTTCTATATCCTTCATTTTACAAAACCAAATCCAAAAAATTCGTCATGCATAAACCACTGAAAGAGTACTTATACAACTGATTCAACCTAAAAAACTAAATATCATCAGTAACACAATTCAAAATTTGGATCCCCAACTACAAATAGCACAAGTGAGAAAACAGAAACAAGGCACGCATGTTCATCAACAAAACAATAAAACCTCAACCAAAATTTCACCTTTGTGTGGCAAATAGTGCGCCATTCCCTTCTAAAAGACACAATGTATGAGCAATTAAGCGAACTTCTTTTATCACCATCAATCAACATTAAAGAGAGTATTCTTCAATTATTTAAAAAATACAGTACCCAGAGAGACCAAGAACGGTTTTCCTTCTATCACTATCAGTATCTGGAGATAAAAAAGAACAACCTTCTTTTTATCACTCTAATACAGCAGTAGCCCCCAATTCTTTTAGTTTATCCACTATAGGGCCAGCCTCCTCCTTAGTTAACCCCTTCTTCAAAACAATAGGAGCTTTCTCCACCAAATCCTTGGCCTCTATAAGCCCTAAATCAGTAAAAGTCCTGACCTCCTTTATAATCTTAATCTTTGCGGCCACGTCAAATTTCTCGAGCTTCACATCAAAGGCCGTCTTCTCTGCGACCTTGGTCTCAGACGCCGGAGAACCAGATTTCCCTGTGGCCTCGCCGGAAATGGCACCGGATAGTGCGGGGCCATGTTTCTGAAACCCTAATTTATGACGAAAGAGTAAAGAGTAATCATACCTCTCAATTTTGGTGAGATTCAGGAGCTCTTCTGCAATTCTTTCAAGCTTCTCAGATCTGGATTCAACCTATGAAGCGAAGGAGAATGAAGAGCTTCGAAGCGGAAGAGGGTCTTGATGCACAGATAGGGTCTTCTAATTAAGATCATTTTGTTGGTGGGTTTGATTTCAAATCAAGGTTTTCGGATTTTCATACATGAATTGAGATCATTTTCGGAGTTGCAGAGAGGTTATTAGATTGGGCTTTATGCTACGGTTTATTGGTCATGAATGGAAAACACTTGGCGTGTCAACGAGATGATCAGGATACGGTTTCGATAGGGTTTGGTCCTCAATGAATTGAGAGAACATTTCGGGAGTTGCAGAGGGATTAACAGCATAGGGTTTTTTTTTAGGGTTTAGTGACGCCCTGGGAGCGTGGTTTTACTCAGTTGCATTTTAGTTATAGCGCTATCCACCGAAAGAGCAAAAAGTACTATGATCCATACGATCATAGAACTTCTGTGCAATATATCTCACCGTCCAATCCATAGGGAAACGGTGATGACGTTGAGGATTACAGACTTTCTATAGTCATAAGCTACACATCGATAGCCCCAATCTCGAATTGACAAAATCAAGCGGCAAATAATCGATCATTATGTCCTTCCAACATTTGCAATGAAGACAATTGGTTTTTCATTGTGCTGGTTATTAGTAGTTGCTATTCTAATTTTTCCTATTTTCAGTAGGAAAATAGTGGGAAAATATGCTCCGTTAAGGAGTATGATGTCTTTATACTCCGTAATGACTAATGAACCTCCATTGTTTCAGAATATGGCGCCTATATCAAAGGTAGGCCTGGAAATGGATAAGGTCACCTCGCCTGGCCATCAAAATATAGGGCCAGGGCCGCAAAATGTTGTCTGAGGGCCAGGCATGGGCCAAGCCATGACAAGGCGGGGTTGGGCTTATGTAGTATCTTTTCAATTTTTTAAAAATTCTGTTATTTTTTTTAGGCTCTGGCCAGTCTCGGCCTAGGGACTTGAGCCCCGATTGGGCTGGGATTGGCGTGGGCCAAGGGGTCATCGTAAGGCAGTCGCATTGATTTTGCAACAATAGATTCGATGTAGAGCGTAATAAAAGTTTTGATGTAGGCATGGTTAGCTCTTATAAAGTGTTGTTTTTTAGGAAAATTGCTTCATGCGGGTTGGGCTGCATGACTACATACGAGATCTAAAAAGTGTAAAGTTTTTTATTTTTTCAAATTCTTTTATTCTTTTAGGCCTTGACGAGTCTGGGCCTAGGGACCTGAGCCCTGATTGGGCCGGGACTGGCTTGGCCCAAGGGGTCATCGTAAGGAAGTTGCATTGATTTTGCAACAAGAGATTCGATGTTGAGCGCAATAAAAGTTTTGATGTAGGAGTGGTTACCTCTTATAAAGTGTTTTTTTTAGGAAACTTGTTTCATAAAGGTAGGGCCGCATGACTACATATGAGATCTAAAAAGTGTAAAGTATCCATCTTCAAGACGGATGCAAGTAGGTGTTTCATCTAAAAACAATGGAATCTGACGGTCCAAATGTTTTATTACTCGACTTATTATTTTTAGTTTTTAAAATTTACTTTTTTTTTTTCATATTCGTGATCTCCATGTTAGAGATTACATGTCCTTAAAAATTAAGTCAAAAAATCCATCCCAAAAATAGATTTTATTAATAGGCCAGCATTTCTACATATGCGAGCTTGGCCGCATAGAAACCGGGACCTTTTTTGTATATAAGAAAAAGTATTTGGTGAGTCGGCCAATTTTACGCGCCCTCCAAAATCCTTCTTAAATATGGATTTTGGATCCAAAATTTTAGGGTTTGTTAATGATGAATATGAATCTAGATATTTATATTTTTAGAAGAAAGTGACTTTAAGACAATGTTAGAAAAACCAGGTGATCTAACAAGTAACTGCCCGGTTAGATCATTGGCCGGTTCCGGTTTCGGGCTGTTTTGGTGATCGGTAGGAATTTTAAAATAAAAATTTCAAAAAATTGTATATAAAATCTAAAAAATAAGGAATTTTGTTTGTAATACATTTTTTAATATTCTTTACATTATGGTAAATATTACAAATTGCTTTGGTCATTAATATTCACTTTTATATTTTTTCCATCTTTTTCAAAAAAATTTAAAAATCCCTGTAGACACAAATCGATTATTTAACAACCATTTTTTCATTTATTTTTATCTTCATTTGAATGTGTTTTGTTTTAATCATTCTTTATAGGGAAAAGTTTATACAGAGCCTAGGTTCTAAACAATCAAATTAAAGCCTACCTTAAGAATACAACTAGAAGATATTGTTTTGATGCCCAAATATCCTCAAATTGATCATCTCGACATCAAGATACATGGAGTTGAGAAAAAATGGATTTCAAGTTTTGGAAATAGTGCATCTCGTAAGGCGTTTTGGACCGTCAATTTTTACGGTATTCAAGTTTTCACATATCTGCTTGATCTACACCATTTTTGGAGCTTTAAATTTTATAACTAAAAATGAAAATATAATTTAAGGCTATCACAAAACTTTCCTGCATTGAAACCATATTTCTCAACACTATATGAAGGTGGGCTCTAATTTGATTGTTTAGAGCCTCGGCTCTCTACAAACCGCACCCTTCTTTATATGCTTTTCATATTTTAGTTGATTTTTTTTATAGCTTTTTTATTTTTTTTCATAGCTTTTTTATTTTTTTTCAACAATTTTTTGATTGCCCGGGACTTGCCTGGTTAGAACAGTTGAATCGGCCAGTTTACCAGTTAAGCCGGTTAAATCACTTATGGTCCAATGTCCGATTAACCTTTCCGATTCGATTTTGTGAACACTACTCTAAGATTAGAGATTGTTTATATATACAGAACTATCTCATTTAAATTCTTCATAACTAAAAGAAAAAATTGTGTAAAAATCCATTTTATTTTTTGTTATTATGAAAATACCTACAAATTTTCATTATTACTCATATGTCGTTTTTTTTAACTTCATAACAATTTTTTTTTAAGAAGACGAAACTACTCATTTTTTGTTTTGCAAACACTGAAATTCAAAAAATTTCAGTTTTTGATAAACCAAATTTCACTATTTGTGGACTCGGCCAAGTTATTGGCTTTTCTATTGTAATGCATACCTCTACACTTCCATGTCAAGGGTTCCAATCTTGCCATATGCAATCTCATCATGGAATGGACAGGATTTGATACCAAACCCTCTTAAAGAGGTATGTATGCTTTTACTAATACGCTATTTGAGTAATAGTAATAGAAGTAAGTATTTGACTAGTTTTAGAGAATTGTAATAGAAGTAGGTATTTGACTAGTTTTAGAGAATGAAGAAACTTGCTCCAGATTTAAAGAGAAAAGTTTAGGTTTTTAAAAAAAAAACCAAAAAACAAATAAATTCAGTTTTTGAAAAATACAAATTTTAATAATTTCAATTTTTAGAAAAAACGAAAATAGGTAGCTTCTTCTTTTTTAAAAAAAAATTGTTATGAAGTTTAAAAAACAAGCACCAGTAATAATGGAAAGTTTTAGGTCTTTAAATAATGATGGAAAATAAAATAGATATTTATATAATTTTCCCTAACTAAAATCCAGAAAAGCAGTTTTTGACAAAAAAACCATTGCTTCTAATAGATGTTATTTTGAAATACCCTTTTGCATTTTCTACACAAACATATTAACATTTTTGTTATATCCTTTCAACATTTTTCATTGACTTCTTCGTTGAGTCCAATGCCGATTTTGGGGTAAGTACGAATGACCCAAGACACCCCAAAATGTGGGAGGGTCAAATCCTTGAGACCTTCTACTCAAATATGTGGTATATTTAGTCTTGTGATATTGACATCCATGTCCGGGTAAAGAGCTCAGTTGTATTAGGTAGATAGACAACGTAAAATTTTGTTAAAACTTATCATGAATCTTGAAGCGGACTGAGATTTATGTAGCAGGCCCCAATTAATTGAAAAAAAAGCTATGATGATGTTGAGATGTCAACATCCATATAAGTTTCTAATGTATAAGCATAAAGCCACACTTATTTATGCATATATACCTTTTAATTGCTCCACCATCACCTAAATATTGAGCTAGTTTACAGACCAAATAAGTTTATAAAGCTTTATTAATAACAAATTATCTAGACCGTCCATTTTTAAGATTTTCATGAATTTATAGATCTACCTAATGTGAACAATTTTTGGAGTTTATAATTTTATAATTAGAGATAAAAATAGATTTTTAAGTCATCCTAGGTATTTTTTACACCAAAATTACATCTTATGATAAAATTTAGGGGTGCCCTTGATTTGATTGTTTATTGTTGCAACCTTATACAAACCAGACTGTTGAATTCTAACTTTTCACACGTGCATTTCCAAAACTTGAAATTGATGTTTTAAAATGTTTATTTTTTAATTAAAGTTATAGAAAAACTGTTTCAAGGAGGAGATCCTCTAAATTATTTCTGTTGGCTTATATGATCATCCTTTCATATGATTATTTTAAAAAAATTATCCCTACCAATGATCTTTCTAGATAGAGAGAGCTAATGATTGGGTGGAGGATCCCACCACTCTTTGTTTTATGACTCAAGACCTCTCTCATAGGAAATAGGAACTCCAAAAGTAGGATCTCAGAATGATTCTATATTTAACTAGTTAGAAAAAAATTAACTAATACAGAGCATAATATAAGTATGAGAAATAAAGCATAAAAAATACAGACATCGCATGAACACAAAGATTTACGTAGTTTATCTCAAAGGGGTACATCCACAAGCATGGTAAACTGAAATCTGTTATACCAATGAAAATGTACATCACATATTTTGGGATACAATAATCTAACCTTTGACCAAACCCTTTTGAACCAGCTTTAACCAATGTTACAAGTCGATCTTTGATTTCTACTCCATAGCTAGATATTGTACATGAAAAAAACCTTGAGTATAACTAAAACTTTCTCTTACTAAAAGGAGATATCACCCAAAGTCTGCAAGCGAGTTGTAGGTATTATCATGGTGGTTCTCTTCATAAAAAGCTCACATCTCTCAATATAAAGGCCTTACTTCTCAATGCAAGAGACCATTGCTTCTCTTTCTAGAGAAAGTCACATTTCCCAAATGGTGACTTCAAATGGGGCACATATATTATTCTTCGTTATCTATGTATAAAAGGTTAGAAATCATATACCAAATAGGAAAACTTCCCTAACATGTCATACATATCTCAAAAACTAAGTGATATAATCATGGGGTCTTGAATCTTGATCTAGTTGGACTTCCATTTGGTTTACCTAATCTTAATCTCACTTATAAGCTTGTCATTTTACCTAAGATTTTCTCTAACATTGTCCACCTTAATATTAAAATCACCTCTTTATGATGCCAACATCCATCATATAATTTCACAATTTCCTCCTTTGTTTCTAAATAAACCCCTTAGTCATTTTTACTGAAAATTTATGTTTGCCATCGTATTTTTCCACCTCAAACAAAACACTCACACATTTCGTCATAGACTTTTATTTGACCGAATAAACTAAACCAAGCTGTATATTGAACCATGTATTCTAATACCACTTCGTAGTATTCAAGATCTATCTTATAAATGGAAATAGGAACCTCAAAAGTTGGAGCCTACTACAATCCTATACTTAACCGGTTTAAAAAAAATCAATAAGGAGCATAATACGAGTATGAAAAACCAACCTCTAACTCTATAGGATGTACTTCCGTAGATGCTTCTCTCTGCAAGAAGTTCATTTATCTCTAT